TCGAAAAAATGGTGTCCTAGAGTCACATTATTAGGTCAGTAACACGCTGAAATTATGCATCCACTTCAGTAACACCTCTGATATGAAGCAAAAAAGTCTGCTTCCTTTACGATCCCAGGTGTCTATAAGTTTGTCGCCTTCTAGTACTCTATTACTTGCCCAAATACGCTTGATCGAGAAGAACTCTGGTGAAATCCACCAGAACAAATGGAAGTGACAATCTCATACTTTGTTTAGTTTTCTAAGCAATGCAACTACCCTTTTATTAAAAAAAACCACCAACCCAAAAAACAAAACACAAAAAACCAACCAAACAAACAAACAAAAAAAACAACCAAAAATCCCCCACAAAAACCCAGTCACAAACCCAAACAAACAAAGCCCCCTTTCCTCCCCAAAACCCCGCAAACCAACCCACCTCTGTACATGCGCTTTATTCTTTTCCTGTACACTTTAGGGAGACCCTGTATTGATGAAACACTGCTCAGAATGATATGGGTTTCTCATTGAATCAATTCAATAAGTCAGGTACGTTCACTAAAACCTGCCATGTTAATTCACTTGCTAAAGAAGCGCAGCCTACAAAGTAATTTAAAATTACTCTGAAAGTCCCGCTGTGTTTAGCGAATAGAAATATTTTTGAGAAGAGTTGTCATCTCATTCAGATATAGTTGTTAGCATGAGATATGGAGCTAGCCAGTAAAGACAGACTTAAGTATCTCGGTAAATATTTTTAGAATATACATTTTCAACCTTTTTCCGTTTCTATACGCCAGCTCAGGACAGTAGATTTACACCGCCTTTCGGAAGTATGCATTCGGCCATTTGTAAATGTTTTTCCTTCTCAATCTGTGTCATAGGAAAAAAAAATAAAAACACCGGTTTCTCTCTTCGCCCTCCCTCTAACAAAAACCTTTACGTCGAAGATTAAATGCCGTATTTTATGTTTTCGTCTATAGATTTCCCAAGAATTTTTCTGTGTAGTAAGTTGTTTTAAGCTTCAAAACGAATTTCAGTTTCTTTTTACATCAATACATTTATACGCCATCTTATTTATAACGCTGACCAGAAGCCTTGGAGAGAAAGACATAGGATATAGAAAACTTTGACCTTACCTGCTCCCTAATGTGCTTGCAGCCAGAAAAGAAAGGGGGGAAAAAAGTAATTTCATATTATTCACCATTTTGCCAGGGACAGTCGTCTCTCTACCTCATAGGAGCAGCGCACTGGGTCAGATGTCTGTACACATTTGATACATATAAACAGTATTATCATTAACTTAGAGTTTTGAGGGTTTTTTTCCCCCCTGATGGGGATCATGAGAGGAACAGCGGGTCAGACAGAAAAAAAAAATTCTCAGCTTTGCTCCCGACACGGCTATGAAAGGACTTAAATTCTTCAGAAGTCACTCAGTCTTTAACTCTAGATCCCCTTTGTAAAGGCTAAAGGCAGCGGTCACGAAAAGTTGAACGGGGGTTGCCTTCCCGGCAAGGCCCCTTTACCTGCGCTGTGCTACAAAACTCCTAAAATACTTTTTTTCCCTCCCCTCCCAGCCGTGGCAACTTCTCTTGGTGTCATCTCAGAGCTGTCTCAGATTACATTGTTTGGGATCTGCACTTTCAACACAGTCTTAAGGCCCTGCACTGCCTTTTGAACCGAGATGCAGGCAATGTACTTTTAGCTCATCTCGTCATCCTTCGCCTCCCGGTAGGTGCAGTGACACCGCACCGCTCCCGTCCGCTGCTCCCGGGGCCACAGCAGAGCCCGGGGCAAGTCCTGCCGCTCCCGCTCCCCCGAGTCCTTCCTCCCGAGCATCCCTTTTGCTAACAGGCTGCTGTGAAACTAACAAAAAAGCCAATAACCCACAGCCCGTTCTGATGTGAAGAAGAGTTTTGCTGTTGTTGCTGTTGTGGCCGCAGTAGTGATGTGGTTTTGTTAGGGTTTGGGATTTTTTTTTGGTTTTGTTTCGGATTTGTGTTTCTTTTGGGGTTGTTTTGCTGTTGTTGTTGTTGTTTGGTGAGTTTTTTGGTGTGGTTTTTTTTTCTCTTATTTTTTTTTTCCACAGCCTGCTGTGCCACTTCACGCACACTTCATGGAACTTAAGAATGAACTCCTATTTACTGCAGGAAAAAATGCCCTCCGCGATTCTCCTACACTTACAAGCAGTGCCAGGCGCAGGGGAGTGGGAGGGAATAACCATTCTTCACTAGATCCTTTTATCTCTCAAAATACGGGGTGCCCATGGTCTAGCGTGGATAAAGCAGTTATATTGGGAAACGTGCATCTCTTCCATCATTTCAGATTTGAATCATGCTGCCCCTCCCCTTTGCCATCCCATTATCCAAGTTCTGCATTGATTACCGGGAGACTGGAAATCAGCATATTGGAAGAAGCAGGAGTTTAGACGGAGGAACATACTTTAATTTCAGTTTTATAAAGCTACACAGTAACTAAGTTCTCATGAGTGTTCTCGAGGCAGACGGGAGACTGAACTGTATTTACACCCCACCCTCCAAATATCTTCATCCTAACCAAGACATAACTAGTTTACTAAAAAAAAATAAAATATGATAAAAGTCAGTATCACAATGTAATTTAAAAACTGTATAAAATTGTTAAAGAACAGTTTGTTTGCATTTCTCCTGATTGATATGTAAATACAGTTTGAACTGTGTTTGCTCGGTCTCTAGTGCTTAATAAAGAGATGAATTCACCTTTCTGTGGAACAAGTAAACAGACTTTAAACTAAGCCGACATCAGACAAAGTGGAAACGAGTTTATTTAATCGAAACTAAATCTAGTTTAAGAAAGATAAGTCAGTGTACATAATAATCCATTACAGTAATTACACCCACCACCAAATATGTATTTATGAGGTTGTCGAGACACAATAAAATTACTTTATTTCCCCCGAACTCTATAATGAAAAGTCTCTGACTGGATCCCTATCAAACATGCTAACACCAATATTCGGGGGCGGGGGCTGTGATAGTTCTCGGCTGTATTAATGCCTTTCGGTGCTACTCACTTTTGAACGTTCCTGGGTTTGAAAGAAAGCACATTAATTACATATGAAGGGGAAATGTCGACTTAACCGGAGCACTTTCCCCTCGGCCTTGCGTATAAACTCCAGGAGAAGCTAACCCTAATTTAAAAAATAAAAAAAGTCCTTAAAGTTAATCTTACTCTCGCTTCGTCCAGGGAAGCTCTGCACCAGGGACCAGGAATCCCCCAACATTTCCTTCTTTTAGCAGAAATAACAGTACTAAGCTCCAGACACTCTGCCGCCCCCCACCCATCCCCCCGCCATGCTTAACACGATGCTACAGATCTGAAATTAATATTCCTCATAGAAGAAGAACAAAAAAAAAAAAAAATAATAATCTTTGGGTTAGTTAAGAATGTCGCTGTATAAATCAGGACATAACCTAAAGAATGAAAGGTCTCGAAATTCCTGTTGACACACGTGATGTCCTCCAGTTAGAAATAAGGGGGAGGGGGTCAGAAAGAATCCGATACTTTTTTTTTTCTTCCGTGTACTTCCCTTTTTCTCCATCCAGACTAGCACTTGGTGTCCGACTAACACCAGCTATCTTGTATAAATAAAGAACTGGAGCTTTCAAAAGCTGCTACTTAAATTGGAGGTTGGGTTGTTTCCATCCCAGGCAACCTGTTTTCTTTCACTTCAAAAATATGATTATTTCGTAACACCGCTGTAATTCAGTGGTGTTTCAATGGCTGCGATCGCTTTCTATGGATTTGGGGAAAAAAACGAAACCGAGCAGCAGACGCAAAGGAAAACACGCTTTTAGAGTGGGGACACTTCTTATTTTGTTATACTCACAAAAGGGATATTTGGGACCTGAAAAATAGAGAATTTCAGGGATTTAGGACTCGTCAGATATGAGCTGCTTAGCTTCATATGCTTTATATATTTACAGAACAGTTAACATCTATCTGCCTTGCATTACCGACAATATTTACCTTCCTACCAAACGCCCCTGTGTGTCTCAGCCCGGCGCGCACCTTTGCGCAGCCACCCACGTGCGCGCACGCACTTTCTCCTCATCTCCTTCTTTACAAACTTCCCAAACGGCTACACAAAATAACCCCCAACAAACAAATAAACAAACAGCCCCCCCTTAGAAAATCGACACGAAGAACAGCACCCAAACCAACCAACCGGAGCCCGTCTGAGTTGCAGCGAGCCGCAGCTTGCGGCTGATCTCCGCCTGGGTAGTGGGGTGGGCTGGGCAGGGGGACCTGCGTGGCCGGGTGCGGGCGTGAGGGGTTGGATATGTAGAAAATTAAATATATGGATACGTAGAAAATTAAACACAGCCTGATAAAGAAAGTTAATTCAAACTACATGTTGTACACAATAAACTATCTTTTTATTTTGATTATAAATAAGGTGACTGTACTTCCCTTAAAATACAAGTACATAGGAAAACCTGGTAGAAATTATCTTTCTTTTTTTTTTTTTTTTTCTTACAAGGTATTAAAACTGGACACTTTAAATCGGACTCACGTTCTATACTGACAGCAGGTTCTTCGTTATTTTAGTTTTTTTTCTAATGGCGTTAGACTTTTACCTTCTTTCTCCTCCGTGCCTTTGGCATTTGAATTTCTAGTTCCGGAATACTTTGCTTTCTCTAGCAAGAAGTCTCTGAGGTGCCCCCCGCCCCCACCCTCATCCCCCCCCAAAAATAATCGGGCTAATGAATTTGGACTCGATTCCTTCGCTCTCGAGTTCGTGAATCCCACGCGTTTGCTTGTCCTGTTTGCACGCTGAGAACTGATCCTGTATCCCGTTAACCTTCTGGCGCAGCTCCCCTTTGGGAACAGGGTCTGGGCCCTGGGAGGGGCAGGGGCCTTCCGGGATCTGGCAACATCCCGGATTGTTTTTCCACCAAGAAGAAAAAAAAAAGGGGGGGCGGGTAAGGGGGAAAAAAAAGGAGAGAGATTCAAGGAAAGGAGCGTCGGGAGGGGAAACCAAAGGGGAAAATAAAAAAAGAATATTTGTAATGTGTATAATTTATTAGAAGCTTCTTAGGAACTATATTTAAGCCAAATATCTACATAAGTTACAACAGGAAAAGGCGGCGTGCGCAAATAACAAACTGCCAGAGGATTTACGACGGGGTGATCAGTGTCCATAAAAAAGGTGGGGGTTGGTTTGGTTGATTGTATTTTTTTCCTTTTCTTTTTACAACAAAATATACAGGCTACTAAAAACTATGGGTTTAGTCCAACTTTTGACAGCATTATACAGCTACAGGTTCACATCAAACGTAAGGAGGAAAATAAAAGCCAAGCCTTTGATGACTCCACGTCTCCATCCGCTGGCCCTGGCGGCGGGCTGGGAGAGACTGGGGAGGGGGAAGCTGCTTCTTGTGTCTGGGTGACGCGAATGCGTTTTTTGGGGGGGAAAACCACCCCATCCCCCAAAATCTCTGTATTTACATGCAAGTCCTAGACGCTGGCAAAGTGTACATCTGATATCCAAGTCTTCAGACCATGCCTAAAGATGGTCCTCTTTCTGCAGACTGCTCCATGGTTATTAGTCTGAATATTTTTATACACCCCGTAGGACAACTTTGGGGGAGAAAAAACATAAAGACCCAAAACCATCAACAGTAACAATAAAACGGAACAAAAAAGTGTCTTTCTCTCCCAGAGGTCCGCAGAGACCGCTCAGTAAAACCGGGGAAAGGGAGAAGCGCATTAAAAAAAAATAAAAAAATAAAAAATAAAAAAAAAACCGAAGGAAAAAAAAAGCAAAAAAAAAAAAAAGCACACAGTAGTTTGGAGAGGACAGAGATTTGTGTAATCGGGAAAATTTGTTGGGTTTGTTTTTTGTTGTTTTTTTTTTTCTTTTTTCTTTTTGCCTTTTTTTTTTTTCTTTTTCTTTGTTTAATCCTTTTACCAGGTCCTACCGTATAGCAAGGTGGAGCAAGACATGGCAGTGCCATAGTCAGAAGTAGAAGAGTTTAGGTGAGACAAACTGGAGACTTGGCTCTGCAGAGAGGAAGGGCTGGCCGAGTGCTGTCCCATGTCTGGAGACTGCCCCGCACTGTTTGTCTGGTGGCTCTGATGCTGTCCGAGGCTGTTGCCATTGGTAGCCACTGTGATCGTTGTAGCTGCCTGCTGCTGATGGCTCTGGATAGCTGCTGTGGGTGTGTTGGAGCCTGCTTGGCAGGGCTTGCCATCCTTCACAAGCACTGGCACCGCCACCCTTCTGGGAGACTGCTGCTGCTGGCAGGAGCCGTTCTCCTGTTGCATCTGCTGCTGCGCAGCCTTGTCTTTGGCCTGGCGTTTCATCTTGTAGCGGTGATTCTGGAACCAGATTTTGACCTGAGTCGGGGTGAGATGTATCATGCTGGCTAAATGTTCCCTCTCCGGGGCGGAGAGGTATTTTTGTTGCTTGAAACGTCTCTCCAGCTCGTAAACCTGGGCCTGCGAAAAAAGGACCCTCCGTTTCCTCCGCGGCGTGCTCTGGAGCGGGGCCATGCTCTTGCTCACGTCTCCCAGGGAGCCGAGGCTGCCCATGCCTCCCATGTTCATGCCCGAGGACGGCGCCATGAAGCGGGAGACTGCAAGGGAGAAGGCGGCACGTTTTAGGCGGCTCGGCTTGGCCCGGCCCGGCCCGAGTGGGGCCCCGCGCTCCGGCAGCCCCCGCCGCCGCCTGCCCCCAGCGGATCTCCGCAGCCCCCCGGCAGCCCAGCCCCGGTTCTGCACAACGACTCACGTCCCTGGGGCGAGCGGCGGCCCCCTACTCGCCCGGCCCGGCCCCGGTGAACGAGGGCGACCGCTCGCCCCTCGTCCTGCCCGGGGGGACAGCCAAGAAAAGTACCGAATGTGACAGCCGCTGCGGCCGCGGACAGCGGCTCCGCCGGCGCCGGCCGAAGAGGACTCTGCCGCTCCCCCGCCGCTCCCCGGGACGCGGCCCCGGCGCCTCCGGCTTCCCCCCTCGGCCGCCCGGTGCCGGGCTGCTCGCGGGCGGACGGGCACCGCCGGCTCCCTCAGGGCCCCCGGGCCGCGACGCTCCCGCCCCGCTGGACGGCGAGAGCCGGGCTCCCGCTCCCCGCCACCGCGGGGCTTCCAACCCCCCAGCCCCGCAAAAGCAGCCGCGGGAGGCTGACGTGCAAACAGCCGGGCTGGAAAGACCGGGCACGATCCTGGGGCAGGAGGAGGAATTTGGGGATTGGGGGGCGCGTCTGGGTTTGAGACCGACTTTTGCCCTGTCGCGGACCCCCCCGTGCCTTCTGCCCGCGATGTGCCGGGCGGATGCGCGGCAAGCCCCCTTCGGCCACCCAGCCCCGGGCTGACTTACTTGAGGAAAAGCGGGGATCCGGGTTGGTGCCGTACCATCCTGTCGCCGAAGCGCTGTTCCTCATGGTGTCCTGGTAAGGCGGCAGCTCGCTCATGTTGCCCAGGTTCCCATTGCAATAGCCCCCCATCGTAGCATGGGAGAGCTGGGGGACCCCTGCCGCTGTCATATGGTAGGCGGCAGTCACTGTTCCGTTGTGGCCCATGGGGTGCTGCTGCATGGCCGGCTGAGAAACCTGAGACTGTCTGTAGGCTGACAGGGGAGCCCCCAAGTTACTGGCCTCCATGCCCACTTTCTTGTAGCTTTCCTCCAAAGGACTCAAGATGTCAGACACTGAGAAAGGAGTCGTATGCTTTGGGCTCATCGACATGATTCGGCGGCTGGGGAAAAAAAAAAAAAAAAAAAAAAAAAAAGGGGGGGGGGGAAAATTTTTTTTTTTTTTTTTTTTTTTTTTTTTTTTTTTTTGCCAAATATTCTGGTGTTGCCTTAACGCCGATCTTGTTGGATGTACACGTAACCGAGTGGACGAAGTCCGCCTTAATTGGATTGAGTGGAGGCTCAGGGCTGCCTTTCGTTTGTTTTAGCCAGACGCCAGGTTTTAGGCTGCCACCAGAGGCGGGGCATAGGCACTAAAGCAACAAGACAATAGAAGCCTACATCTTGCCCAAGATAATTAGCTTACATGCTGATGACAAGGTAAACACCTTTAAGTTTTACTTGTCAGAATTTTTTTTTATGTCTTTAGGAAAAAAAAAAAAAAAAAAAGAAGAGAGACAGAAAGGACGGGAGAGAGAGGGGAAAAAAGAAAGAAAGACCCCGTGAGCACAACTCTTTTTTTTTTTTTTTTTCCTCGGGGGTGGCAATATAGTGGATGGGAAATGGAAAGCAAAGCAAAAAGACCACCATTTGACTGGGTGAAAGGATTTAAAAACAGCTCCCGGGTGGCAAGGCTGTCAGCCCAGCCTTTGTGAGAGCTGGGGAAACGGGGTGGAATGCCAGTAAGGCAAAGGACAGAATCTCCCTCTTCCCCCACCAAGTTTGGTCCGGAAGGAACCCCGCCGCCGGGAGGACAACTCTCGGGAGGGCAGATCTTTCTCTCCGGGCCACAGCTCCCCGTGCCCCGCACTCCCCGCACTGGCTTATCAGATACCCCGGCAGGCTGGGGCTGAACCAGCGCTTGGGATTTCGCATCTCGGAAACACTATGTCTCCTAAGACACTCAGTGCAGGGATCGTTTCTCTCCCTGAACCCATAAATTCCTTCCAACTAGGGATTTTTTTTTTTTTTAATATCTCAAAGAGGGGTGGAAGACACAAGTTCGCAAAATCAAGCAGTAATTTAATTGCCTGGGGCGAGAGACCGATGAAAAATAGGTTAGCGCAAAATGTCGCTTGTTATTCTCAGAGGCAAAGACTCTCACAGTCTCTCGTGGTCCCTCTGAAGCTGAAGCTGCTTTCTAAGGTTATTTATACAGCACGGGAGCTGGATGGAGAAGACCTCTCCGGTCATCTGCCATACGACCTTGCCAATGAATTCCCTGTAGTTTCCAATAAACTGCAATTTCTGGCACTTTCGGATCTGTTCTCGGATCCGGTGTGAAAACAAAAGCGATCCATTCACAGCCACACGCACACTTACAGGCAGCCAGTAGCTAATGTCACTCGGGTCTTTGAAGAAATCTTCCAACACCTAGTGTCTCCAAAGCTTATATTTCGGGGTGATCCGGGCAGAGGAGAGAAACCTCCCCCGAGTGTTTCACACCCCGGCCTACGACCCTGGCAACCACAATTTAATACAGCGATTACCTGAATATTAAGAAAATTACAGCGAAGGTACAGTTAACCCTGGGACTTTGAAGTGTCAAGTAACTATTTAGTAATTGCACTTGTAAATATGTTTGTGCTCGGCTGGTTCGTGCTTAAAAATGCAAAAGTGCACTTGCTACCCGGGAATAACTAAATATCTTTGTCTAAAGTGGCAGCATAAATAGCCGGTCGCTTTGTGGCTGTGCTTGATATTAGTACATAAGGATCATTTTGCTTCAATTGGGAGGCTCTCATTCACTAGGCAAGAAACCGTTTAGGAGAAAGTAGGTTCCCGTATGAGAGTTAACATCCTTCAAGTGTAAGCCTCAGTCTTGATTACACTTTAGAGCTCTGCAAGAGGTGAGCTTTTCCACACAAATATAATCGGGGGAACTTTCCTTCAATCAGGCCTCCAGCTCTCTTACATCATCTCAGCTGCTTCTTTCGGCACCAGCTCCCTCAAGGCTGAATATCCCAAGGTGGGCTGGTTGTGAGTCTGCTGGGTCACCAAAGGCAGAGAAGGGCGACTTTGGGATAGCAAGGCGTTTGGTTTTTACCTCTTATTTTTCCTCTTTTCTTTTAAAACCTTTCAATCTTGTCTTTCCAGAGCTCTGGAACATTTCTTTCCCCCTCCCCCCCCCCCGCTTTTTTCCCCTTTCTGCGCGTATTTTTGATTACGGTCTTTGGTTTTGTTCCTACACCGAGAGAGACTCGACCTTGCCTTAGTGGTTTGGTTGTTTGGGGTTTGTGGTTGGTTTTTTTTCACCCCGAATTTCTCAGACACTCCACCCCCATGCCTCTTTCGTGAATCTTTAAAAGAAGGTGGTGGATGGAAGGGAAAAAAAAAATAAATACTGCAGAATCCACCAAAACTACGGCTTGGTCGACTCTCATCAGAGACGAAAGGCGGCAAGTGACCGCGCAATTTGTGGGACAGGAGCCGTTCCCATCCACAGAGTGGGGCAGCTGGGTAGGCCCCAGCAGCGGCTCCGGGAGCCGAGACTCCCCGCTGCCCTGCGCCCGCCCCGGAGCGACCCTTTGGCCGCTGGCTGCGCCTGCCAGAGCTAATTTTTCCTCTCCCTCGAATGAGCGCAGGTTAAATCGCCTCTCAAACATCTCTCGGTTAGGTTATTCCGAGCGAGTCGGGCCTTGGCTCTGCACGGGGTCTGCTAGAGGGAAGCTAATGCGAGAGCGCTTCGTTCACCTGCGCTGGGAAGCGGGTGAAACTCTCCTGCGCACGTCTGACCGCTGAGTTAGGAGCACACCGGAGCTCGCACAGGCACAGCTACGTCTAGCTACTTTTCAGCCTGGCTAGATCGACGCGGTGTGAAGGAAACAGGTCAGCCTCTGCACCTGCTTTCCCGGCCCAAGTGAGCGATAACGGGGCGAGTCATACCACGGACAAGGGGCGAGAAAACTTCTTCTCTGGTGCCGTGTCCCTTCACTCTCTTTTCTTTCAAACCCTCCACAGGAGTTTCGTCTGCCAGAGATGGCTGCTCCCAGCTTCCGGGGAGGGCGGCCGTCCCGACAGAATCCTGCCTAGGCTGCCTTTAAAAGCGATGTATTCGTTTACCTGGTGATGCTGCTTAGTAAAACACTCGAGTTAAAAAGAAATGCTAAGGAGGAGAGCAAGGAAGATGAGATGCGTTCTGCCTGGTGGAAGCATTTTCATGAGAAAGGCACGGTTTTCACCCCGTGTTTGCAGAAATGCGGCTACACGGACGTCCCTTCAATAGCTTCTGACCCCACACAATCCTTTTGATAACACTCGAGAGGTGGAAGAATGGGAGACTTTGTCAATCAAATGGTGCCAATCCCAATGGAAACGGTGCCACCAAGACCGCAGAGCGTTTCCTCATCAACTGGATTGCGGGGGCTGGGAACTCAAGGATCAGCTTTTGAAAGTGCGCACAGGGCTCTCCAAAGACAACAATGTCTTTTTTATACGAGCTGCTGTGCCTCCCCAAGGGGAATTAAATATGTTCGGCCAGGCAGAGCTCGGAGGGCTCGGAGGGCAGAGGGTAAGGGTCCCACGCAAACCTCACGCAAATTCTTTCTCAACAAGAAAGATGCTTTCTAGGTGTAACTTTTTGATACGAAGCCATGAGCTGCTCCGTGCTCCCCCTGGGTCAGTTCAGGAGTGCACGTCTGGAGGCACCCCCTGCCCAGCGCTGCCGCCCCCGCTCCCAGTGCCGAGGAGGCGGCCCTGCCTGCTGCCCTGCCCGCGGCCCTACAGCCCGGAGCAGCCGCTCACAGAGAGCTCCGAGCTGGAGGTGGCAAGAGCAGATCTGTGACAGAGCTCTTTCTTCGCTTCTGGTCACCCGTATAACTCTAACACATCCATAGAGAGATGTAAATGACCACCTGGAAAAAAGGCACCACCGAGGCGGCTTGCCTCAACTCTCCCCTCCCAACCCACCCTGAGCGAGCTCATAGAAACTTCATCTGGTTGCTTGTGCGTGTCGGGGTAATACACCCTCTGTGTCCCCGCGCTCCGCAGAGCGGAAGATGTGCCCAGAACACCTACGCCCGGAGCGGAGGTTTCCGTACTCATCGTGTAGGGCGGACTTGTGACTCTGGCGGCCGCGGGCAGGGCGCTGGGAGCCTCTCCCCACCTGGAAAGCACATGCTTGGGCGTGTAAGAAGGCAGGAGTCCTCCCAGAGACGCACCCTGCGAGCGCTACCTAGGCACGGAGCGCTCTGGGTGTGTGTGTGGGGAAACGCCTGTTGTGGCTCACAGGGACAATTCCTCGCGGTGGGAAAGCCCCCCTGCCCTGGTTATCTCGTTAGGGTGGGAGAAACCCCTCAACACACCGGTCGAAACCTCTCCCCCTGGCGTGGGAACCTAAGGCAACCAGCGAGACCACCAAAGGCTAAAGCGAAAATCCTCACCCCTCCGCAGAGCACGCACAGTTGCTCCTCCAGCTGCCCACGGCGTGGAGCATCTCGCAGCTGGGGGTTCTCGGGGCTCCTTCGCCACCGGTACCCACTCGCAAAGCTCTGTGCGAGCGAGGGTAGCGGCGTTGCCTCCGCTCAGCTCTTTCCCTCCTTCCCCAGTTGCTGGAGGACGGCTGAGCCCTCCTGCCCTAGTCCTCGACACCCTCCCCGTCCTTTCCTTCTCCGGTCCGTTCCCGGCCAAGAGGGCCAGGGTGGGGCCAGGTACGGGGTGCCAGGGCAGGGCTCCCGGAGTCGAGGCGGCGGGCGGAGGGCAGCCGTGCCAGGGCGGGGGCGGCGGGGCCCGGGGCACGCCTCGGCCCGCCAGCCTCACCGCGCCCCTCCGCGGCTGTCCGGCGCCGGGACCCGCGGGAAAGGGCTCTTTGGAGGCACCCCGGGAGTCTCGGGTGGATAGCAGCAGCACTCGCCCCGCTGTGTGAACTGCTGTCTGACCTCCTGGTCCGATATTATCAGCAGTTAATATAAGCCCTCCACATCTGGCTTTCCTAATGCCAGTAGACTGTCACTGCCGCAACGGTGCCACTACACACGTACAAGACTTACTGTTGCCCTGAAGCGTTTTTGATACACCCAAGACAGAGATGATTATGCGGAGGATTACTTGAAGGTGGTTGTTGAGACAATTTGCAAAA